TCAAAATTTAAGCATAATCCAAATACAAGACATGTAAGCCATATGGAATGTAAGTTATGAAGGGTCAAAATTAATTAAGTAAACGTAAAACAAAGTAGAAACATATACTAAAATTGGATAGGAGAAAAACACAACAGCTAAAGAGGAAGAAGTCTTGCCCCAACAAAGAGCACAATCGCACCGTCGTCGGCGATCAAGGTGGCTGGCCGGATTGGTTAAGCCTTACTCTTATATGGTGTGGAGTCTCTTTGATTATAAGTTCGAATCTCTCTATTGCTCATTGATCTAAAAAAGGAAAATCTTAATTTGGCTGTGGCGGAAGAATGCGATCCCGGGCTGCCAAATGAGCCTGCTCAAACTGAACATTCGGACCATAATGCATAATTTCTATGATGACATCCAGAGATGATCGTCGACGTTAGTCGCTCCTTCTGATCCATTCAATTTTTTTAGAAAAAAGGAACGCTTGTCCGTTGTGCGCCTTAGTTGAAGCATTCCAATCTTTATGACTTTGATAGAATAAAATGTCATTTTCTATTCGATTAATATTTAGACTTTGAATATTTTTCTTATCCTAACAACCTCATTGAATATCAATACTTTAATGTTGCTGACGTTTTGATTTGTTGACCACTCCTGTTCATTTCTCTAGTCGTATGACTGCAATTACCGCAATGAGAAATATACTTTATAAGATTTTACGTTGAACTACTAAAGTTAATGCGTAATCTCGACTTAAGATGGTATTTGGCTGTAGTTAGGTAGTGCTAAATTTTAAGTGGAAGACATCACTAAAGTTACAAATCTCAAAATCATTTTTGCCTATTTTTGCTCTGTTATACTCTAGGAAGCACAGACACTCTCCGGGGGCCTCCGTGTCGGTGTTGGACACATGTCGGATGTGTCGGACATCGACACTCGTCCGACACTCTTTTTTTTTTATTTATTTATTTATGGATTTGAATCAAATTAATTTGATTGAAATAATCATAAAAATGATAATTTATCATGTATATATAAAAATATACATTTAATATACAACGTGTCAAAATTATTTATTTTTTGAGAAATAATGTGTCGGCGTGTCGTATTGTGTCGTGTCGTGTCGGTTCTACTTAGGTTATACTTATCGGTTTTCTTGGCCCCCAAAAAAAAATTATGGCCTTTTTGTTATGGTTCAGGAAATGTCAAACTAATTAAGTTGGATTTCATTCCATTTTATCTTTTTTCCAGAAAAAAAACCTTATAAAGGTTTACCATTAGCTTTTTATTTATTTTGAATAAGTAAAGTGTTTGTACAATCTTCTGGAATAAAAGAAATGTTTTACATGAAAAGATTTCACATGAAAAGATTTTGCATGAAGTAAAAGTGTTTATGCTTTTGATAGACAATCGATTTCTTGAAATTGGACAAGAGAGCTAACTTTCGGTTGAATGTCATCTGGTAAACAAATTAGATCGAAGCGAACGCATTTCTTAATTTTGGTTTTCTTGAGTTTTGGGCTTGGGCCGCCCATGATGGGCTTGACCCAAGCCCAACCCATTTGCATTTCAATGTTTAAAAAATAATCTTGATCTAGTGACTGCTATTTTAACATGTTTCTTCCGGTTAAGAGTGATGTGGGCTACGAAACATGTTAGGAAAGCAGCTAGGTTGAGATGGAGAGATCTGAGTAACAAAAGGAAGACCATTATGTGTTTACATTGGTACATGTATTCATCGGACCGTCAGTCATGTCTATCTTAAGTGGTTACGACCTGATTGTGAATATCCGATAAAGTCAAATACGCTTTTAAAGGGATCAAAGGTGCTTGGATTGGTGTAATGAATTGAGTTTATGATACGACGGGATTGTTTAGGATGACGGATATGTAATCTTAACTAGTGCATGGTGAGCGTAATGCAGGTGTACTCGCGTGATCAATATGCTCGTTTGAATTGATCCTTTAAGAAACTACTTGCATGTGATAGATATTATATATACATGGGATACATGAGTATGGAGACGCATGAGAGGGAAAAAGAACAGTGATCTCCAATCAAGTTTTGTTTGGATCAAGTGCATATTTGATTGAGGACATACGAGTGCTAGTCCGAACGCACGATCACACTTCCTACCGAAACGACTACATAAGCAGTACGTGGAGCAATCTCGCTTCTTAAGATTTGAGGTACGATTGCGCGAAACCCTTCGGGTTCCACATCCATGTTTTTTTGGCTCTCGGAATGAGATAACCAACAGCACAATGGGGGCTCTACAATACATAGAGAAATCCATTGAAAGCTGATAATTTCTGGGATAAAAATAAGGTGGTCTAGGTCATTCACACTAAATTTGAAGTGATTGTATACTATCAAGTGGTTTATATATCTTAACTCATTCACATGGAAAGTACGACAAAGAAAGGTGAACCATCGAGAATCGTTCCTCAAGAGACCGGGAAACGCTCCGGGATCTCTATGATCGAATCGAGCATGTGTCGGGTGCCTCCTGTATAACGTAGTTCAATGATTCCATTCTAACCCTCGCTAAAAGAGATGGGCTTCGATTAAATTAATAACGAAACTTAGATTAAATTGAAAAAATGGTTAAGTCAAGATTCATAACTATCTCATCCTTGCAAGTCCAAGGTTTTTGCTCCTTAAAATAATGTTGGATCTGCGCTAATAATTAAATAGGCACGTTGAATGGGTAACAGAAGGACAGCACTCCACCGGTTGAAAGTCCTAAGCCGGATTAGACAAATGCTAGTCACGGTTTACTTGTCAAGCTATTTCAAGTTATTTTTCTTCATTTCCTTGTGCAAAATCTTCTTCCTATGGAGATGTTAGGTATTCATAGACTTTTTGGTCAAATGAGATTGCTTCATCGCCCACCCCTCGAAGAACCCACAGATTGATTTTCAAATGCCATCATGGGTTTCGATTCCCACCACTCGTCTTAATTTAATAGGTTATCGATATCGATATGGGGGATGGTGGAATAGAAGATTAGGTTAAAATCAACAAGGAGAAAGAACATATCGCATGTGTATGCAACACTATCCCGCAATTGAAGTAATGTAATAAAAGTAGTCAACGTGAAATTTTTAGATAGGAGAGAGAGGGAGAGATGGTTGGAGAACGTGCGCAGCTTGAGTTATTTTATATGGATCGCAAGTACGACTATTCACATGGTAGCTTCTCTACACCATGTGGAGATGTTCCATGAATCTGATCATTTTCTTTTGAAACTTCGAGATCAAGAGACGTTACGAATAGAATAGAATTCATGGCCATCCGTCGGCCCGTTCCTGACGTTCGAGACAGGTTGAGTTGGATTGCCCTCTCGGGTCTCTTTAGGTAGATATAGATCATCTTGGCCACATAACATACAAGTCATGGTGATTTTATTTGACTGGAATGGCTTCGTTTTGTTTGGGCATAAAGCGAAGGCATGAGGCAAGATCGATGTGGAGGATGATTTGATTCCGAGGGGGGGTCGATTTTCGAGATGCATCTCTTGGCGGTCGCCACCTGCAATAGGGTTTGCTCAGATCCATGCAAGTTTCGATTCGATTACATAGACTTTCTTGGATAAACCCAGAAAAGGAAGAAAAAAAGATCATGCATTAGGTTTTTTTGATCATCTTGGCCACGTAACATACAAGTCATGGCGATTTTTTTTGACTTGAATGGCTTTGTTTTGTTTGTGCATAAAGCGAAGGCATGAGGCAAGATCGATGTGGAGGATGAATTGATTCTAAGGGGGTTGATTTGCGAGATGTATGTCTTGGCGATCGCCACGTGCAATGGGGTTTGCTTGGAGATCGTGCAATAGGGTTTGCTTAAATTCATGCAAGTGTGGGAGTTTCGATGCGATTCGAGATGCTTTTACAAATCGGACATCGACCCTCGAAAAAATCCGAGTTGCGAGCTCTCTCTATTCATCGCCGACACATTTTCGTGTTTGTACATGCATTATACGTCCTTATCTTATGCATATAATGTGAATATGGCTATGCTTCGATCGGATGCGAATTTGGGATTTAGGGTTGAGCGGAAGCGGAATACATAGTCGGGAACATATTTTTGCTATCATCAGCAGTAAAGAGATCAAGGAATCAAATGCATCATTGCTTAGGTATTATCCCCCATATTAAACTAGTCAAATTGCTTTAAATTCTTAAAAATGCCTTAGAATATGAAATGAATATGAACAGGTGAGTGTGAAAATAAAGAGAAGTGATGAATGCAGCCTTGTCCTTTCTTTAATTCAGCTAATGACTACCCATAATTTGTCGTGTCTCGAGTTGGGACTTGGAATTATCTAAGAGATTAGTTGGCACTTTGACAGTGCTATAATCATATTCAAAGTTATAACAGTTACGTGTATCATATTCTATCCGAAATGTCTCCCTTTTACGTTTGAATATTTAAAAGGATTTAAATGAGCGCTTAATATAATTCATGTACAAACTATAATATGTGAAACCCATAAGATTGGATATTTATTCATGTCACTAAAAGGGCTTGCTATAGAAGGAACACAAATTACGTATATTGATTGATTATTGCTGATTCGGTCGTTCGAGGGGGAAGAACCGATATTTCCTCTCACTTCTTTTTCTTATGATCTAGACGTACGAGTACTGACCCGACTAAGTGTCCATGACCCAGAACGCTTCGCATGTGATTGGCGGGATTCGACCGCGCAACTTCCGGTTACCGTTTTTTTTTATCTCGTGACATTCTTGTATGGAAATGTTAGGTCTTAATCAGCTAACAATAAGTTAGTGACCTACTCTTTTGGTATTTTTTTCCGTTCCAATTGGATTTCTGCATTCGTAACACAAAATCCAAGTTCTAAACTATATGACTAATCCTCAAAATATAGAGAATATGCCGTTTCAATTTCCGTTGCTTAATTTTGCTTTTTGGTGGTTCCAATAATTAATTATAATTAGTGTGTAGAACTGACTTTTGCATCAGGATCAAATGATGAAAGAGAAGTCGCGCGTACCAATGATCTGACTATTCTTTTCATTATCATCAATTTCGATCCGATTACATAGACTTTCTTGGACAAACCGAGAAGAAAAAGGATTTTCAAACTAGGGTTTTCTATCACGGAATTGGAGGAAGCTGTACCTAGAGTTTCCTTCAATTTCCCACGTGGAGTCGATCGTTTCTAAATGTTACCCGTCAACTTTAGAATACGTAGTGACATGAACGAGAAAAAGTCTAACCACTCTGTGTTGACAACTCTATATAATAGTGCCATTCATCTTTTGCTTAAGCACCCTAAACTTTGGCCAATGGCTTCTCTTCCTGCACCAGCCGCAGCTGCCGCTGCCGCCGGCACCACCACCACCTCCTCCTTCTCTTCCTCCGCTGCCATCTCCACATACGGTCCATTCTTCCACAAATGGGCGCCGGTCTCCCTCTACACAAAGCCCAGAAAACACTCGACGCGGCGATCGACCGTTTCGTGCAAGGCCCCGGGCAATGACAACTCCGAACAAACTCCTATGTCGGCCAAGCTCGACAGGAGGAATGTGCTCATTGGCCTCGGCGGCTTCTACGGGGCGGTCGGGCTCGGATCTGACCCGTTTGCGCTCGCGGCCCCGATATCCGCCCCGGACCTTACCAAGTGTGGGAAGGCCGACTTGCCGGCTGGTGTGAAGGCCACCAACTGTTGCCCGCCGTCCTCCACCAAGATCCTAGACTTCAAGCTTCCACACTCAAACTCGCCCTTGCGCGTGAGGCCAGCCGCTCATTTGGCCGATAAGGACTACATCGCCAAGTACGCCAAGGCCATTGAGCTCATGAAGGCCTTACCTGCCGACGACCCGCGTAGCTTCATGCAACAAGCCAATGTGCATTGCGCCTATTGTGACGGGGCCTATCACCAAGTCGGGTTTCCAAACCTGGATATCCAAGTCCACAACTCTTGGCTATTCTTCCCATTCCACCGTTACTACCTCTACTTCTATGAGAAGATCTTGGGGAGCTTGATTGGAGACCCGACCTTCGCATTGCCCTATTGGAACTGGGATGCGCCCGCCGGCATGCAGATGCCTGCCATGTTTGCCGACCCGAAATCGCCGCTCTATGATGCAAACCGAAACCCAAAGCATGCACCGCCCACGCTCGTGGATCTCGACTACAACGGCGAGGACCCAACCACATCGAATCAGGACCAGTTGTCCAGCAACCTAACCATCATGTACAGGTAATAAAGGTTTGCAAGAATGAGAAACTTTAGGTTGGATGAACGTAGGTGTAGATCTAAATTAATACAATTTAATTGGCCATGTAAAGTCTAAAGTCAATGCTTCAGTTTGCGATGGGTAAATTCTCTTTTTGTCACTTTTGATTTTTTTCTTTGTTTTATAATAATCTCTCCCATAATTTTTCTACGTAAGCACTGAGAATAGATGAATCCTATATATTTTTAGACTAGTGAGAATGCTATTCAGGACTTTATCATAGGTATTGTAACGAGAGTCAAACTAACACAGAGCAAAAATGGGGTTTTACAAGGGTCCACAAAAAGAAAAAATGTTTGATGCATTGAGATGGCAACAGCTTAATTCAATTGCCTTACTAATAATAATAAGATGACATAAATTGTGGACATGGGTAGTTATATAGTTTCAAAAATTGACCAACTATTGAAATCAATGATGATATATGTGGATTGTGTGTGAAAAACCAGACAGACTATATCCTTATAATTAACTTAGAAAACCTTTTTGCTTCTTAATTTATGACATGATCAATTTGGTCTAAGCAGGCAAGTGGTGTCGGGTGGGAAGACGGCAAAACTCTTCCTCGGCAGTGCCTACCGGGCGGGTGACGAGGCAGATCCGGGGGCCGGGTCGCTCGAGAACATCCCGCACGGCCCGGTCCATGTGTGGTGTGGTGACACCAGGCAGCCCAACCTGGAGGACATGGGCAATCTCTACTCTGCCGGCCGAGACCCGATCTTCTTCGCCCACCACTCCAACGTGGACCGCATGTGGAACGTGTGGAAAACCCTAGGAGGCGCGAAGAGGACCGACTTCACGGACCCGGACTGGCTCAATGCCGCCTTCCTGTTCTACGACGAGAACGGGCAGGCTGTGCGTGTGAAGGTCAAAGATTGCCTAGATAACACTAATTTAGGTTATAAGTACCAAGATGTTGACATTCCATGGCTAAAATCTAAGCCAACCCCACGCAAAATAGCCAAAAAGGTGGCCAAGGCCTTTGGGAAAGTAGCTCATGCCGCGGATATGCCACGGCCTATTGTTCAATTTCCTATTAAACTAGACAAAGTTGTGAGCACTCTGGTCAAGAGGCCAAAGCAAAAGAGGAGCAAGAAAGAGAAGGAGGAGGAAGAGGAGGTGTTGGTGATCGAAGGGATCGAGTTCGAGAGGGATGCGTTCGTGAAGTTCGACGTCTACATCAACGACGAGCACGACTCCCTGAGCAGGCCCGACAAGACTGAGTTCGCGGGCAGCTTCGTGAACGTGCCGCACAAGCACAAGCACGGCAAGAAGATGAAGACCAGGCTGAGGCTGGCGATTACGGACTTGTTGGAGGACCTGATGTGCGAGGACGACGAGGAGGTCCTGGTGACTCTGGCCCCCAAGTACGGCGGCGGCGACATCACCATTGGCAACATCAAGATCGAACTTATCGACTGAAGTCGACGGCGGCGGTGGCGTTCTCTTGTGATGTTTCTTCCGTTTCAAGTTTGAAGATTAGTGGTCAAATCTTTTTGGTTTAACTTACGTAAGCGTTTCGTTTTCTTTCCTTACGACTTTTCTCGATTTTCTTAGTTTCTACATCATGTGTGTTTGAATAAAGTGCTGGCCGCGTTGCATGTAGTAGGCTCTTGGAAACCCTAAATGGCTACGATTAATCTAATTTAAAGGTCAAGTTGCTATATTATGTAATCCATGGAGATCTGTGCGCTTATTCTAACCAGTGGTGCTATTAAATGTAAAAAGCATAATCCCTTTTGAAACTAATCGTGTTTGCCCATCTAACTGTCAAATTACTCAAACTAGTCACCTACCCATCTCATAAAAAAAACTCAAGAATGAGGAGAGAAGAGGATCCAATGTAAACTACTGCTTGTCCTTTAGTTTCCACGACTGGGATTATTCTAAGAGCTCGAATGATAAGACCTAGACAATCTTACAACGTGCAAATTCAACGCTCACGTTCAAATGACTCTAGTATATATATATAGATATGAATCACAATATATGATGTCGGATAGGGAAAAATGCCATAAAAAATCCTAAGCTATAGTCACCCATGACAGATTTACCCGAACTCTTTTTTTGTGACGTCAAAATCGTCAAACTATGTCTACTGCGACATATTTGCCTTAAAACTTTATATTGTGACATAAAAAACTCCAAATTTTTAACCGTGTGATATATTACCCTCCGTCTAGGTCCCATCAATCCAACCAAGGTGCCATGTTGACACAATTTGCTTTCCGTTGTTCATGTAGACAGATTTTTAATGGTTCTCATTAACGTTACTATGACAGAGCGCAAATGTGTCATATATTTACAAATTTAGAATTTTAGATGATACTAAAAAAAAAAGTTTAGGATAAATATGTTACAATGAGTTTGGGGATGTTGGTGGTTTTTGTTCTCCTATAGGATACATATACCAAAGAAGTCAACTGAGAAATAGGGACTTAACAAAAGAACAGTCAGGATTTCAAGATTACCATAGCCCTTGTCCTAAAAAGTTAAGATCAACAGCTTAACCCGCAAATCATGCATACAAACAAACGTACATAACACGTAAAAGTGTACATATATTCTTACATGTATGTGCATGCATGTATAACAGTTGTTTGACTCGAGATGCCTTGGCAAGCAAGCGTCGTGCACAACAACTCACTGCCACCGAAGAACACTTCTGGTTCCTGGTGCGTGCATGTGAAGAAAAAGCCTGGAGAAATGCGAGCAAATCATAAAATTACCTGTAGAGTATTTCTGCGCCGCCCGTCGTATGCATCTCGCCTTCTCCGTTGCAGCTCTCATTGAGTTTGGTGAAATTCAAAAGAAACGCACGAATGATCCGCCGGTCATCTTTCTGTCTGTGGTGTTTGAACCTTTGCATACTGAAAGGGCTGATGGAGAAATCTCAGTTAAGTACTAACAGTACTACAAAGATGAAGTACAAAGGAAACTACCATACCCTTTGTGTAGTACAAACATTCTCCTGCAGTACAAAGCTGCTTCAGGATGCATGATTTCTTGAATTAATAATAATGACTATGGTTTTAGTCATCATCTGGAAATAAACTCGAATAGGATTTGATTGCATCGGAATAGAATGTTGTCAAGAAGATTTGAACCGGCGAAGAAAATCCGATCCTTGTAAAAATTCCAAATTCGAATAGGACAGGTTGATGTCTGAACAAACAAGAACCTATTGAAAATTTTTTATTACCGTCGGAATTGGATTCCTAGTTGGGTCGACAGGTCACATGAAAAAAAAAATAAGAAAAGAATTCTACTCAGTCATTACGTATCGAAGCAAACAAAAGGGCTGGGAAATACTTGAGGTATTGAGTGATTGTAACTTTGTAATTTTTCAAATTCATAGTGAATTTCTTGGTAGTTGACTCTCCCTATGGAGTAGGTACCGATACTCAGGCTGAACTACGTAAATCTTTAGTATAATTATTGTTCATCATTGATTACTTGAGTGATTTCTTCTTCTTGCGTTAAATTTGAATTCCATGATCCGTTAGTTTCCATGTTATTTCACTGCAGCCGTCCCTATTTTCATATCGATCGTTTGCTTCAAAAAGTTCCGCACATAAGAGTTCCGGAAATAGTTACGAATATCTCTTAGGAAATATATAGTGTACCCAGTATAGGGTTAAATAGAAATTGAAAAAAATTAGAATAAATGCTCTTTAAGCTCACCTTAACTGTTAACTTAATTAATTTGAATTAACTTTCATTATTAATTATTGCGATATAACTCTATAAATAAAATAGATGTAACTGTAAATATCTTCTTAAATCCCACGTAGATTTATTACTTAAGGGAAAATGACACAAACAGTCTCTGAATTTTGGTCCAATGTACAATTTGGTCCATGAACTTTTAATTTATTCAATATGGTCCGTAAACTTTAATCCAATGTGCAATGTGGTCCCTAAATTTTTAATTTGTTCAATGTCAACCCTAAACTTTTGGTATATGTTCAATTCAGTCTCTGAACTATATGGAAATGTTCAATGCAGTCCTTTCTATTAATTCAAGTTCAGGGACTACATTGAACATTTTCATATAATTGAGGGACTGAATTGAACATGTATCAAAAGTTCAGGGACGACATTGAACAAATTAAAAGTTCAGGGACTACATTGAACATTCGTCTAAAGTTCAGGGACTACATTGAACAAATTAAAAATTCAGGGACTAAATTGCATATTGGGCTAAAGTTCAAGGACTGTTTGTGTCATTATCCCGTTACTTAATTATTAGGCTTGTAAGAATTCTCAAAGCCATTGACAACGCTGGTCAACGATTTATTAAGACATGACATGGCCTGGTGGGTGGGTCTCTGTTGCAAAACTAAAAGTCTGTCAAGATGCATAAACTCTCATGCTACCATTCTACGTTGATAGTTAGATGGAGAAGTTTTTGGATTAATCATCTGATTAAAGTTAAATATAAACGTAAGCAGATGAGCGCTTAGCTCATAAAATAACAACCCCATTAATTACTAGTTTTATTTACTCTTAATATCTTAGTACATATGCGTACCAAATTCTTTGTCTTTATTCACCCTACAATATTCGTAAAATTCGAGAGATGCTGATTATATATTGTTGAATATATGTCTCGAGTTTGACCTCGTAAGGAAAACCCGACCCAAATACATTTTCTTGTTTTAGTAGGTTTCGTAATTTGAGCGGTTTTGTAGTTTGAATAGGTTTTTCCTATTTTGGATCCAAATATCATATATACAAGAGGTGAGTGTCGGTTTTTGCCTATTAGTGAGCAAAAGAGCTTTTGGTCATAACAATTAATCGTGCGATATGCTCATGAAGAAATTGCAAGTGTTTTTAAGACAATATATCGTTTGATAAGATTTACGCATTCCTTTGTGAGCTTGTTTCACTGGGAATTGTAAGGTTAAGCACCGTTTGAGTTATTTGGTGTTATTTGGGGCTGGAAAATACCGAGAGTATTTGAGTTACTCAAGTGTAGTTGTAATTTCCGTTGTATTGCTTGATCTATAGTGAAATCATGTACTGCTCCCTGTGGAGTAGGTCCAACCCAATCATGTAAATTCGGCATTCGATTTATTGTCTTGTTCTGTTTATTATTGTGCTCGATTGATTGTTTTTCGCAACAATCGGTACCAGAGCTAGACTTAGTTGACTTGAAGTGAACTGATGATGATAAAAGAAGGAAAAATAAGAATGGACAGATTTGATGGGAAGAATTTCGATTTTTGAAAGATGCAAATTGAGAATTACTTGTATCCAGTGAATATGCACTTATCGTGTTGAGGGAGAAGCCAAGTCGATAAAGCAAGCTGATTGTGGTTTGTTAGATTGATAAGCGTTGATTGTTATTTGGCTAACTTTATCTCGTAATGCCGTGTTTTACCAAATTGTTGTGGATAATATGCACTGCCGATGGCCTAATATCAAAAACAACTTAAGAATGTGAGGAAAAAAAAGGGACCTATGCAAGCTGTGTTATGATTAGACAAATTTATTATTGATTTGATTATTGAGGACTTCAACAAGAGTTTGTTTCCACCCACTGAGTAATTAGGGATTTGAAGCCAATTGGGGTTCAACATCAACATTAGAGGAACCAATTAATTTGGTTCCAATGCATGAACATCGGTGAGTCTTGAGATTGCATAGTGCCCACTTGCCCCTCGGACATTGCCAGCCGCAATCAATGTCACGCTTACATGATGCATCGACTCTTGTCACCGCTTACATGATGCATCGACTCTTGTCACTATCCATGGCTCGCCTGAAAAAGGAAAAAAGAAACAAATGTTTTTTTTTTTATTGTTACTATTCTTTTGGGAGACATTTATTTTGAAATAGCATGTGCCATGCTCACGATAGAAAAAAATTAAAAGAATCACGCATATGGTTGTATTCCTTGCATTTCCTTAGCCTTGCTTTAGCTTGGTAAAGAAAAAAGTGTAAAATTTTCTTCGAGATCAATTGTATAAATGCATAAAAAAAATCATAGGTTAGGGTTTTATGATTGAGAGAGAGAGAGAGAGAGAGAGAGAGAGAGAGAGAGAGAGAGAGAGAGAGAGAGAGAGAGAGAGAGAGAGAGAGAGAGAGAGAGAGAGGCTTATTACAAGTTAGAGTCACCAAGAGGAAGACCAACATCAACTTGGAGGCTCGCTTCATTATTCCCTTGGGTTTTGGTTTTGATAGAGTGCTGAATGGTTGATGGTTTGGTTATGCTAAAATAGAGAGTGCTTTGGCAAAAAATTCTATGTGCACCGGTCCATATTTGTAGGCTTGAAATATCTCTGTGCTGTTAATTGCATTTCATTATTAATGGTACGTCCATATTTCTCCATTACAACTTTGGCAATTTCATCATTAAGATACCTTCATGAGTTACTTCCATTACTTTAGGCAGATTCTAGTGATTATTTCTCTTAAATGCTGCTCTTAATTGACGATATATGCATGACGGATTTCTCTTTTGCACAGAAAGAACCACATCTGCATATCATCCACAACAATTTGGTAAAACAATGACACAAGAATTTTCGTTGCGAGCCATCCATCCATTATGCAAATAATAACTTGTTCTTTCACTTAACGTTTAGATGTCGACTATATCATGAATGTGCTTTGTTGATAAGGAAAATACTGGAGTAGCTTAAATCATAAAAATTGATTATCTAGTATCTATTTTCCCAGAGAAATAACACAAATTGTGCCAAAAAATATGTAAATAAATTGGACTCTACCGTAACAGGTATCGATCTCTAACAGGCCAGCAAAACTAAGACTGTTCACAACCCATTCGTTTCAATGTTACTTTGCTCGAAACAAACTGGTGGCCATGGACATCATCATCCGGCTTCCCAAGATTGTCGTCCCTCGCGACTCTCCTTAAGCGCTCAGCTCATCGAAACGTCTGGTTTTTTCACTGGCATTTGTTTTAGCATGTTCCTGATATGTATACTTCACCAGATGCTGCGTTCAACTTGTAATTGCGGATATAGACCCTTCTGATTCAAGTTGCAATTCTGTCTAGTCCTAGTTACTTAAAGAGCAGAGTGATTTCGCTTCACAGTGTCATGAGTTTTCGTGCGTTGGGTTTGCAATATTTTGTCCAGATGAAGTTGGTCCATCTTTTTCTCCTTAGGATGCCTGTTTGAAGACATGATCGCAACTTTACAGAGGCATAGCCACACTAAAAGCTGCATTTTGACTGTTCTACTTTTGGAATACCCAGAGAACAACTTTGTGAAATGGTAAAATTTCTTTTGAGGTTTTGTTGATTAGGTTTTAACTTAATGTCTGCCTCATTCGTTGGTGATGCGCAAAATTCGATCCAAAAGTAGACCCATCATTCGTAATTCGCTTGTTGTCCTGTACGTGCCCACTCTTTTCTTTCATAGGCGCGTTTGCATTCCATTCCCAAGTTTTTAATCTTAACGTAGATGAGGCTTTGTTCGTCTCTGTTATTACATCTTATGTGACATATTCCAATTTGGGTTGTCTCTACCACAACAGATCACCATACAGCAATTCTACTTCAAAATCTAGAACAAGCTTGAGTGAGAAGCAACTAGTTACTAAATGCCACATCAAACGCTCGAACATAATAATACTTTTTTATATATTCTATCCAACATGAAGCAAAGCTTGTATCTCCGCCAGAGAGTCTTGGAATGGCTTCTCTTAGACTGGTGTCCTCGAGAAATCTAGTAAGATATTAGTTGAATTTCTCAAAAGAGGGATTAAAAGCATATAAGCCACAAAAAAAGACTCTCCAATAAGATATACCGAATAGCCTCAAACTTGTCATTTAATGGGTTCAATGCAGTGCCCATCTTGGTTATATAAATATAGACTGCAGAAACGGATTTACTGGTGCTGCGGATCAGACTCGATCTCATGAGCCAGCTCTCTAGTGAGCTTGTCGGCACGGTCGTCGTGGCCACCAGCAAATGTGTACACCCGGAATGCGAACTGAAAAGCCCTCCAGAGCATTTTTGTGCATCCCTGTGCTCGTTTATCCGCTTTTGTTCCAGCATTTAAACCCTCATTCGCCTTGGCGTCCCTCTTCTCCTGCATCAAGAGACTTATTAGATGAAACTCAAGATCTGGATCGTCCATTTCCATTTATAGTCTCTGTTAAACTAATAGAACTCGTGCTTCAATAATTCTTTTGATGTGATACCTTAAGTGCCAGTTCCATGCAGCTGGAAGATACATCCACCATTGCTTCCTTGATCCTTACAAGTGTATCGAAGTCGAACTGGATGTCATAGGTTGAGAACTTCTTGGCTTCTTCCTCTTTTGTTCGTTCGAGTTTGTCGAGTTCTCCTTTGATCTGTTTGCAGTTCAATTTGGCAAAAACCGTGAGCAATGAAGCGCAAGCAAAGATTCATGGCAAAGCGTCTTGAGATCTTACGGGCAAACAATAGATATTCAGTTTACCTTGTTGAAGTAGCATTCGACCTTGTCGAGGAGCTGCCCCAAGGGAGGCATGATTTTATAGTTGTGCAACTCGACGATAATAGAGTTTAACTTCAAGTACAGTGCCGCGGCTGTTCGTAATGCTTCCAACTTCTTTGTGGGGAATCCTTCGAACCTCGCCAAGACCTGCGCTTCCAAGAATTGAGCGTTCGGATCTTGAGCTAATAGTGAGGCGTAGATCGACTGTCAGAAAATAACATGGAATAATCTATTAATTATAGACCTGTGTTTCATCAGTCAACTTTTCGAGGTGAGACTCGACATGATTGTGGAACTTGAGCAGCTCAGCCATGTCCTTGGTTTTGAAAGAAGTGATGGTACTCTTTAACTCCTTTAAAATTGTTGCATAGTTTTGGACGTCTTCCTCGATTTGTTGGAAGTATGCCGATCTGAGATATAGAATTTTGGCAAATTCCATAGAAGATTAGGTTAGCTTTTCTAGCATAATCTGTTCTTGTAAATACTGCTAGGATTTTTGATACTTTCAAGGCTTACCTCTTTGTCATTTCCGCTAGTGCATCAGCCATTCCTTGTTTTCCACCACACGAGGCACCGGCCTTGCTTTTCCTCCCATCAGCGCATCTACCTTTTAGGCTCGACCCTTCAACCTTTCCCTTGAGCAGCCGATATAAATTGCCGATTTGGGTCGATCTTTTCAGCTTTGTGCTGGATTTCTTGGGGCGCAAGGATCTGGTCGCGCTGAGTGGAGGAGGGGGCGGTGGAGCAGCTCCTCCTTTTCCAAATGGCGGGGGAGGTAATGGTGGAGGTGTGGATCCTTTTGAAGGTGTCTGAAGCGGAGGTGGTGGAGGAGGCACCGCGATGTTCCCTTGCATCTTTGGTGCTGGTGGCGGCGGTGGGGGAGGCGGCAGGTACTGAACTGTAACATTTGATGAGTTGACTGATGAAGAAGGTAGAGGTGGTGGAGGCGGTGGGGGTGCTGGTGCTCCAATGTTTGGCTGGACTTCCATTGGTGAGATCCTGCAAGGCAGCGGCGGCGGCGGAGGTGGCAACATAGGCGATGGCAATCCACTGTACAACACCTTAAGTGGCTGTACTGTTTCTTGCACAGCCTCCTCTATTAGTGAGATCCTGCAAGGCAGCGGCGGCGGTGGTGGCGGAGGTGGCAACATAGGCGATGGCAATCCACTGGACAACACCTCAAGTGGCTGTACTGTTTCTTGCACAGCCTCCTCTATTGGTGAGATCCTGCAAGGCAGTGGCGGCGGTGGCGGCGGAGGTGGCAACATAGGCGATGGCAATCCACTGGACAACACCTTAAGTGGCTGTACTGTTTCTTGCAAAACCTCCTCTTTTGCAAGTTTTTGTTTCACATCGTCAGTGTTGCTAGCTTCCTCTTTTTTCTCACAAGTTGCAATTGGAGAACCGCCGGTTTGTGCTGTAACATTAGGAAACATGTATAGCGAAAGGCGCTTCACGTCGATCGGGTTCAATTTCCCCACAGCCCTAACGCGGAGAGGAAAGAGCAGTGGCGGCGTGTAGGAGACCTCTGCGAATTTCGTGACCTTGAGCTGTTCTGGAAGGACCGAAGTCGGACTGACTGGCGAGCCATAGGGGCTTTGGTTGTCGGGACTCCCCGTGAAGTTCTTCTCGAACTGGCGGTGATCTTCGTCCTCATTGTCTTCATCCATCAGGTCGAATTTCTCTCTCACTAGTTTTATCAGGCCTTCTAGTATTGCCAGTACTATTCCCACTGCATTGGCAGAATAAGTTCACTGGGTTTCGCATTTCAGGAGAAACTCTACTTTTACTTTAAGCTAACTATATTTTGAGCATACCGATTTTCTCCAAATTGTTGCGCTCCATATTAGCAATCTCTTCAATGGTGTTCTTATCGATCCAGGCATTGTTCATCTTCCATGAATCTCCAATAGATTTTAAAGCAGTGCAAAAGTAACTCAATCCCTGCTTCGAATATGTTTGGTTAATTGAGCACAGCCTTTATCAAAGTTTGCAATCTGCATTCACCTAACCATACTAGGCTCTGCAAAGCGAAACAGCGTTACCTGATTGATTGCTGCTGTCTTCATTTCCGCGACTTGCATCTTTGGTATGATTTCAGGGTAAAGCTTTTGGAGATCTTCCATTGTCTCTATTACCAGCTGCGAGAGAAGAGAAATCAGGGTATTAAATTTGTAATTATATTGATATCAGAAATGTCTATTTAGGTAGGATTTTAGAGGGATAAGCAACATTCTGTTTAATTACCTCGTCGACTGAGATAGAACTGCGACAAGGCGGTAAGTCAATGAGATCACGAAAGATGGAGATCTTTCTCTGGAGCTCCATTGCCAGAAGGTCGTCTCTGCATCCGTGTGAGCTAGCGAATTTCGAGCCTTCGCCCTTTCTATGCATTGACATCTCGGATTCTTTCATTACCTGCAGCACCAAATTCACAAATCGTTAAGATCGTCACGTTATGAATTAACTTCCGGTACCTATTTTCTAAGATCTAATCTGGATAGATACACAGAATGCTTTGGCCATATTTACAAATAACATGACAACTCATTTCACGTAATGGCGAATTGACGGTAAATGATGCTGTCCTACAAAAATGATCAGGACAAGATTAAAGATCACGAAATATTCGACGAAAGATGAACGACGAACTACCGAGCACATTTTTCCCAAAAAAAATGTTAAAAGACTGGGAAGATGAAATATTTAAAAAAATTTCGGTGAATATGATGCCGAGAAAAGAAGCGAATTCATCATGATATATCAGAATTGCACATGCTCATTTAAAACAAATAAACAGCGCGGTACCCTCATTTCTAAACCATTGCAATCAAGCAAACAGGTAATATCTGTGCCAAACAGATAATATCATCATCAAACTGCCTGTGGAAAATGAAACCGAACGGCGAAAAGATCAAGAACATATATAATCCTAACGCAACGTCCTACGATACCTCGTAGCCACAGGTCTTGCATGAGCCACAACCACTCAAGAACGGCGAGACACCACAGCAGCTTCGGGTCGCCATGGCGGTCATCGAGGGCGTGCGCGCCGGATCTCGTCAAAACCGATGAAGCGGGTCGCGATGGATCGAGGCGAGAGCTCGACGAGTCCTCGCCAGCTCCTCCGTTCGAGAAGAAACCCAGGTTTTTTTTATATGGAGAGAACAGGCGAAGCGCTCTTCAGGCAAGGAAACATTCAAATCTGAAAGCGTCTTGCACAGAATAAAATAACAAAAGAAAAACTGTCGTTATTGTTGCTATAACTACGTGCAGAGCATATCAAAAGGGGCTTAGAATAGGCTTTCTTGATGCGATAATCAGCCTTCTTGTCAGGAACTTTCTCATGGGAGAGAGTCAAGATTTGGGAAGAAAGGCGAATGGCTCTTTTAAGGACGGGACAACGAAGGCGTTCGTCGTTAAATGTTCGTTACGAAAAGGTTTCTTGTCTTGGTGTTCGTGTGTTTTTGTTTGAGGCTTATCTCTCCAACGGCTAACAAATCCACCCCAAAATTTGAGGGAGCTTGATGTTGGATATACTTTTAGCGACAGCGAAGACAGAAACAAATTAGCCTAAGTCCAAAGATGATTCGAGAAGCTGAGCTGTGGGAGGAAGTTGTGATTATTTGCAGGGAAATTACCATCGCCCTTTGTCGCTAATAATATCCTTTTCAACATCCTGTGTGTGTAATCGGTTCTTTTCCCCCCGGTGCCCGCACACCCTGCTCCCCCGATTTCCCCCGGTATCTTTGTCTTTACCGGGGAGAGGGAATGCCCTCTGAAAGTTTTATATCTCGGGTATTTTTGAGGTCCAGTTGAGACCTAGTTTTAATCCTCGGTTGATTCTTGTCCCCGGAAAATGTATGAATTCTTTCTGCTTGAGTTGCATCGCATGCTACTTTGCAATAGCCGTCCTCATATGGTCGATTCGATCGGGAAGGTGTGTAAATCTAAGCGGAGTGGCTTACTCGTTATCTTAATACGTAATGAAAAACCTTATAAGGAAAACGAGATAGTAGTCCGTGTATTGAGATTTCTCTCATTGATCCGAGTGCTCGGATGTTGTACTCACGGTTAAAGGATGCCTTACACTAAATACAGATTTTCACATCTAAAATTAGGAAAAATTATAAAAGTAAGGGGGCAATCTTGAGCTAATTTTCACGGGAGAGCTTCATTTTCGTATTGTCCATTCTTTTTTGTGCTGGAACTTCCCTTAAAAGTCTACTATTTCTAAGAAATACATCACATTCATCAAAAGTTCCTTGGAATGTTGACTTAGGTTCACATACGATTTTTTTCCGCAACTTTTTGAGACTCGAAAATAATTTAAATTTTGATGAAATGTACCTTTTGCTTTTGTTTAAATGTAAACAAACAGGAGGTTACAGATTCTCAAGGTCTTATATGCGTGAACAATGTCACTTGCATCACCAATTTTGAAGACATTTTGGGTTACCCGGATGCATGTGAGCTCGGTGCATCTCTGTGATTCTCAATGTCTTATAGGTGTGAACTAGAGTTTTTTTTTAATTTTTAATTTTTTGTCAAAGTGGGAGCAAAAGTTTAGAACATATCACTTTCATCACCAAATTTTGAAGACATTTTAGGTTACAACGGGCGCATGCGAATCCAGTAATTCCTAACTTAGATCATGGGAGTCTCGTGTGAGACCCACCGACAACAATAATAGATGAATCGGCTCGTATGTATTCGAATCACCTAAGAACTTTTCCCATTGCCAGGCTTGCTTGGCATACATAAGCTGGGAAAGTGGGAATAAGAAAGAAACAGAAATAGGCCAAAGTTTTCTCGCCAAACAATTGAAAATGCTCAGGTCGGAAGATTTATTCCAGTTGGCTTAGTCAAAGGTGTATCTGGGATTTAGGTACGCAATCCCCAATTGCGCTGCATTATTAACCATAAATATAACCACATCGCCCGAACACACTCGTTCGTACATAACCTATAAAGTTTGCGAAATTTCATGGACTCGAGATTTATTTACTCAAACTGTACACCCTCGTTATAGAAAAAAAAATTCGTGGTCAGTGGATGCATTTATTTTTATTTTCAAGTGTTAAAAATAAATGATTTTTGACGAGAGGAAAGTGAGCAATGCCAAACGCAAAGTCGAGAACTTCCCGTCTTCCCTAGTGCCTCCCCACCACGACCTTTTGAAATTAGCGATGGCCAACATTTTCCGGAGTTAAAAGGCCGACCTTACTTGCAGATTCCAAGGGTCGCCATTTACATTTCAAACTTGATTCTCTAAAAGGGTTCGGTGCTGTGTCTTTGAAAAAGACAAGAGAGGTAGATTGATTAACTGTTCATGTTGTTGCTCAAAGTGCGAGGATTGAGACAATGGTCTCATAAATGATGGCGCATGTCGTGTCCATAATCTGAAAAGCAGTGAAAAGTCGAGTAGTTGGTTCGAAATATGACATTGTTTGCACTTGGCAACATGACGAGTTAATCGCGCCAACTTGCTTGACCTGAACATGACCTCTATGTTAACGAGTTGGCGACATGATCTAAATGACATGATTAGATAGCGAATAGACGAGTGGACACCAAATCGCTTCACCAACATGAACCACACACAAAAATATCCCCAATTTTTCGTAAAACCTATTTACAAATTGCAATATCCGTCTACAAACTGTCGTCAGATCAAATAAAACCATGTTCATAGTCAATGGAATAAGCTAATCATATCTAAAAGGGTCACGTATAGGTTGTGTAAGCACTAACCCATTAATTTAAACGACTTTTGTACAGATCAATTTTGTGTCAAGCGGGATGACATGATCATTAGTCGCATCATTAGTCACGTCTTGCGGGTTGACAAGAAATTGAACTGAACACGATTAGCTTCAATCCAGCCATGCTAAGTTAGTGTTGTGTTCGAATCATGTTATCGCGTCATGTCAGAACACGCCATGTTATATTTATGGGCATGAGTAGTGGGCCTGATTTTGGTAATGTTTCAGCGACTAAAGTTGAGGCCTTATCATGATGGGCTTTCATTGGCCCGTCGCGCAAAAAGTCCCCAATATCGAAGGAACAATGAACAAGATGATATTGGGATAGACTTTGCAGGAAAGAGGCAAAAAGACATTTTAAAAGGACTAGAATGATACTTGAGACATCAAGACTCATATAATGAAAAGATTTAAATGATGTGGTAGATTATGCTGAGATGGACTCGCCGACTAATTTCCAAATACGGTCTGTCAAATCTTTCAATTTATCCATTTAATGTATGAAAAAAATGATGATTCATGTAATTTGATGACGTGGATTATTATATCCCGATTTGAGTTGAATATCTTTTGTGGATCATCCACGCATAACATAACGTTATCTTTTTGCCCACTGTTCAAACGTACCGAATTGAAAGCCAAATTATCAAATTCTGTTAATTTAAATTAACGAATGGGTAATATTGAACATTTCATATAGTCCAGAGATTAAATTAAATATATACCAAAAGTTCAAAGATCATATTGAATAAATTAAAAGTTCAGAGATGACATTGTACATTGGGCTAAAGTTTAGGGATGGCATTAAACAAATTAAAAGTTTAGGGACAAAATTGCACATTGGGCTAAAGTTCAGGGACTAGTTATGTCATTTTCCCAAGGTTAAACAATATCTTTTTAGCGTTTGTTTAATTGTAAACAAATAGGTTCTTAAGAGTTTTTAATCTTTGAGTAAATATAAAGATCATAATAAGCTCAAACTTGAGCTCTCTTTCAACAATCTCCCTCCCAATAAAGGTATCGGGTTCCCTCTTGGGATCTCTTCCATATGGTGTTTGTATTCGATCACTTTTGAGATTGGGGCCAGATACATGAATACCCAAATTGGTAGCTTCAGTGGAATGTTAGCCGAGAAGTGCCGATTGTGTTACGTGCCCTAAAATGAATCCGAACCCGTCGAATTTGGCGAGACTGGTCATGGAACCCGTCGATTCGAACGGTTTAGATTCATTTAAGTATGCATCGACTTCTTGGTTGTAACATGTGAAGCTCTCTATCCAGAATCAAATTCAACATGTTCAGACCTTTTACCATTCAATTCTTTTGAATTTAAAGTGGGGGACACAGTGGGAACAGGGGACTTCAATTCATTGATTTGGACTAGAATACATCGATTTCTCTTGTTTCTTCTGAAAGAATACCACTCTGAAGATGAGTTGGCGACGGTATCGCAAGACCAAACTCAAGGAAGTGAGGAATTGATCAACAAGGACGACCCCGTCAAAGCTTGTTAAAATGATTACTTGATCTCCAATCAAGAAAAATTGACTCTTCCATCACCTGATATCTCTAGAAAGCGCAGGCTATAGTTACCTTGTCATTTGAAGTTTAACTTTGGATTGCTCTCCAATTCAGCCACGTCTTCTTACTCTTTGGACACTCGAGTCATCTTATTCTACATTTGATGCTTTTAATCGAGTCATTACAGACAATCAAAAACCATACTAATTTCTATTTGAATGCCTTTTCAGCTTTCTATTAGTTCATCCGCGGATGGGCGGCAAAGTTTGGTTAAAGCTATTGCAAAAGTGTAATTACGGTCCTAGGCAGTTTGGTGCGATCTGCTGTAGAAGAAAAATATAATTTCGAAATGCTTACTTCCTTTGCTTTTGGTTATCCCACGTTAGTTGAGACGCCCTCACTTTTTCACTTTATTTATGAGTTTAGTTTATTAGTCTGGTAAAATGAAGAAAAAAGTGTTGGGATCATGCTTATGAATTTGGGACGAACCAAGTGTAAAGTTGGATTGTGCCCTCCCCATGTGCAAAATGTATGCGAAGCCCGGAATGTTTCCTTTTACCGAATTTCTTATTTTTGCCTGATAATTCTAACTTTCGCTCAACCTATTTTCTCTCTTTCTCTCATGGGCTTTGCATATCTCCTGTACCTGCTATACCCGAATAAATCAGAAGGTCCGTTGAATCGTGGACATATCCGCGTTCTACCTTGTGCACTCTTTGAAAGGCGGAAATTATCCTCGAGAATAATACTTTACAAGCTATCGTAAATAAAAAGGAAGGAATTTTTAATTGTCCAAACACTTGAACTTCAATTTCAGCCCTAAAAGAAATTCATGAATGAGCTTGTAGTAGCGAAGGAACAGGAACAATAATCACTACCGAAACCATAACCTAGTCCAAGTCTCATAGGGAATTCTTGAAGCTGTGCAGCTTCAGGGAAGGTATTGCAGGTTTCCTTGCAAAAGACCGAGAAATTGAGAACCTGGAAATTGAAAGAAAGGTAAGTGTTGGCAGCTGTATGATGTCTAGGGTGACGAAAATTGATAAAACGACAAGCCAGAATGTTCCTGTCCGTAGATCTACGAAACTATAATCTGCATATATATTGTGCAAGCATTTTTTTTTCCTTCACACTCTTTGTGGTATTTAAGGCGCAGTAGACGGACTGCACACTACGTGTTAACCATTACTTAATTCCTCAGAGTTGTTGTAATTGGACGGATTGCCTTTCCAATGAAGCGGTACTTCTTCAAAGGAAACCTTCGAACGCAAGTTCGCGGAATAATCGCACGAATTACAATGATGAAGAACGATGATTATGCGAAAAAAATGGCTCGCGGGGCTAGAGAATGCCGAGAATGCGAAAATATATGTTCGAAAAAATGAATAGTCACGAAGAGCCCGTTCAGCTATAGATGGGATTGAACAGTCACCAAGAACCGAACAAATTCGTTCAGTTGACAGACGGTTATCAGTCACAAACTGACATGTCTGTCCGAAGAAAAAATTAACTTCCAAGAACCGAACATGTTTGTTCGGGAAAATAAAACCGATGACCCGATGGAATGGACCTAGGGGGACGGACGGCGGCGGCGGCGCGTGCAGGGGGACTGACCTAGCTTGGCGTAGGTCCTCTCCCTTCCATAAAAGTGGGGTACCCCTTGGGGCCCAAATCCATTTGAGAGGCTCATCTAAATAAACCATCTCCTATCACAACTTCTATCCAATGTGGGACTATTTCCATCCACACTTCTCATTCACAATTTATGGATTTTGGATACTAAAATCCCAATAATTTGTTCGAATTCCCACTAACTATCTGTAAACTGCTCTGAGTCTGGATCAACTGTACAGACCAAAAGTCTTGATTTGACATGTGACTTTGCGGAGTGTTCCATGGGTCTCCATGCCCGTGCCCTAAATTTAAAAGAAATATAAAGTCAACAATTATATTTCGACTTAAGAAATCCTCTCATGATTTTATTTAATTTACCAAACTTACACAACTTGATGATGTGACGTGTCCATCTCTTTATTAGCTTAAGTAAACTGTAATGCTGATTCGAAAGGCATCCATCAATACGCATAAATAGGTTGATTCAATAAATTCTCACATCAGGTATGAGAGTAGTTGGTCAAAGCACCCACAATATTCCTTCAATCATATTTATGCCAATTCAAAGGTGGCATCGGAGTGGTTTCTTCTTTTTCAGTTTAACGGTTAGGTGATATTTGAATCAGTTTTCGAATACCCAGATTGATCTAATGGCTCAGGCGATCTTAAGATCGCACTCTCCAATGTCAGCCTAGAGTTCTTTAATATTTATGTGATGGAATTTGACGGACGATTGAAATGTGTTGGAACCTTAAAATTTGGTAATGAGCGGTGCTAGGCTTCAATGAGGGGGATTCAAAAATAAGAGGAAGTCATGGAAATCCCTGAAATCATGGAACAGGTTGGACAATGCCAGATCATGATGGTGTCGGCCCCAGGGAATTAGATGCGATGTTTTGAACGTGTACTCTTGGCTTTTAGCTAGGAGTCACTCATAGGCTTAGTTTGAGTTTCTATCTAAGTTGTAAATCGTTTGCTGGATAATACAAAGGATTACACGTTTTTCTTATTTGCCAATCTCGAGTTTGGCCTTCATTGGAGAGTCTTCCATGCGGAGGGGGTGGCATGCATTTGGCGAATTTTTGGGGAAACAAAATGATGGTAGGAAAAGCATTATATCAACCTTACTGAGGTTGAAAATGTGTTGGACTATTTTTGACCCGAGCTAACTCACCCGTTTGATGGGTCTAGCTCCGAGTCACCCATTGGCTTAGTTTGTATTACTTTCTAAGTTGTAAATCGTTTGATCATTGGAGAGTCTTCCACGAGGAGGGGGGTGGCATGCATTTGGCGAATTTTTGGGGAAACGAAATGATGATAGGAAAAGCATTATATCGACTTCGGTGAATCATGATCACAACAACAAAATAATACATGTAGCAACAACAATCAATATATTCCATGTATTATTTTGAAAATATGTTTCGAGTTTGAGCCCGAAAAGGGAACTTTCATTATTCAAGTAGATTTCTTAATTTGAGTGGATTTCCAAATTGGAAGTGATTCTTAGTTTGATTATATATATTTCCTCAAAGAAATTTCCTATTGTGGATCAAACTCTTATCTATATATAAGAAGTATCTTCTTTGTGAAGAGCATCTAAGAGGCTCCTTCTTTGCGAATCAAACCCCGAAGAAATCCAAGAGTGTTTGAAGCCACATGCTAAAATTTTGTGTAATTCCTTTGTAAAATTAAGAGGTTGTTTCCCGAGAAATTGTGGCGGCTAAACACTATGAGTTATTGGGTGTCATTGGGAGCTAAGAAACATCAATAGTATTTGAGTGACTCGAGTGTAGTTGTAATTTCCGATTTTGATTTATGGTGAAATTCCGCGTTGCTCTTCTCGTAGACATAGGTCACATCGATCGAACCGCGTAAATCTAATATCCGATTTATTTTCTTGTTCTGATTATTTATTATTCGATCGCTCGTTTTTGCAACGGAAAATTTTGAAACTTTTCCGCGAGACAAAGGGGCCCAGGAGGTCGCAAGAAATTGACGTTTGATTGAGCCTGCCAAATAAGAGTGCAAATTCAAACGACCGTGCGGATTATTAGCCAAGACAACAACGTGTTTGAAAACTACGATAGCGATGGGTGTAGTAGCAACCCATGTAATAAAAATGATCTCTTATGGGGCCAAAGATAAGGACGTGTTTGAAGGTCCGGACAACACTTCCTACCGAAATACGTGTTAATTAACCAATTCCGTACTTCTTTTTTTCTCTGCCTTTTCAAGACAAATGCTAAGTAGTTTCTCTACGCGAGACGGTCGCTCGGTCGGTCGGTCGGTCCGACGATGAACTTTTGAATAATTCCTCTTTTGAATACCATACCATGTCCTGTCTAATTACAACTTCATAACATTCCTCACTCTCTCCAAAACTCTCTATATATATGAACATAACGCACCCTATAGCAGAATAAAATCGTATATTTCTTTAAAATATACCTTTTGTTAATACTTACTTTAGGTTCTTGAAAAAGCCATGCAGCGATTATCAACAGCCATAGCCAAGAACGTAATTCATCATGGCCACGTTCTCGGACCCAACAGCCAGATCATCCAAACCCTAAGGCCACCGTACGACGTGTTCATAAACCACCGCGGCGCCGAGACCAAACGGAGCATCGCCGGCTTGCTGCACAACTTCCTGAGTTTGCTCGGCCTTCGTCCTTTCTTGGACAGCAGGAGCATGATGCCCGGTGATAAGCTGTTCGATGAGATTGACGCGGCCATTTACGGTTGCAAAGTCGGGGTGGCGGTGTTCTCGCCCCGTTACTGTGAGTCGCGGTTCTGTCTTCACGAGCTTGCTTTGTTGATGGAGACGAAGAAGAGGGTGATACCCATCTTTTGCGATGTGAAACCGTCGCAGCTTCAGGTCATGGACGATTTGAAGCATTCGGCCAATCATTTGGAAAGATATAGGCATGCTCTTGAGGAAGCCAAGAACACTGATGGTCTCAGTTTCTATTCATCAAATGGGTATGCTTTAAATCTCTTTTGTTCTAATTTTCCACTACAAGCCATAGCACGACTTGTTACGAATGATCACGAGAAATCATATTATCATGAAACATAGTGGATACACGCAAAATAAGAAAAGAAAAGAGCATATTCGCGGTCTAAATGTCAACCTAAAAGATTAAACTATTGAGTAGAAGACGAATGAAAGCTTCACCGAAGCACCGTTACTAAAATTCCTATGAACACAATTAAATGCCTCATATATTTTTCTGTTAGTGCAAGTGAGTATACATAGCTTTGAGTTTGATTTTTGTGGGTCCTGACATTGTTTCTACATGATGGAATAGGGACTGGTCGAAGCTAGTAAGAGACGCATCCGATGCAGTGATCCACAGCTTGCTGGAGGCAGAAGATGAGAAGCCCTAATTTAGATCCAAACATAAAAATTTTGTGCACAAATCACTAAATAAAATGCATATAATGGTTTGCGCACGGGGAGATCCAAAAAGAGATTGGAATGCCCCATCTCTCTCCAAGCTTTAATTTGCTTTATTTCTTGAATCAAATTCATTGATTTAGTTGATTCTTTGTAATTCTTTGTAACAAATAATATATAGTGGTTTAATATTCTAGGCACATGGAATAAGGGACCCTCGGCATTGTAATTAGTGTCGGCTTAAGTTTTGTATAATTCTCTTGATCTCTGATGATAATAAGATTGTACCATCTTTTGTCTAAAGAATAAGCTCTCGTCTAGTGCACTATTTAGATGATTATTTCCTTCATTTTCTCTGACCATAATGCAAAATCAATGAAATGGAGTTCATTCGAAACTTTTTTTGGCCCGTGCTAGAATAGCATGTTCGTATCCCTTTCCGCTTGCAAATCATATTTTGAACCACTCAACCAACCACCAACTCGATATGTTTCAGCATAGGGTTATATGCAGCTGAACCAATTACTTTTAAAGTTTTGAGACAGAGCAACATTATATGAATGACATCAACATAAACAAAATGGGCATTAACAAATTACCAAAAATGGCAATTGGTTTTTCTAATATGTGCCGAAAGAAGAAGAAGAGGGACGTCGAATGTCAATGTTTAATAGTTGGGCGTGTTTGGTTTGTAGCCACGTGGCATTTCTGATGAAAGTGACAAGGTGGGATAGAAGCTTGGGCTTCCTAAAAGTCAAAGGCCAATGTCAACTGCTGAGTCATTTTATCAGATGCTATCAAGAAACTTTCCGATACTTTGCACTTTGCAGCTAAAGCTAGTTTTGTGTCGTGTCTTTGGGCGGCCCTCGGGTTCAATAAAAAAAATGATCTTTTAATGACAAAAAATAGTCCTCCTTAGAAAGTTGATAGATTTAAGACAATTAAACGGAGGGTAATTTATACAAAAATCCCATTGAACTTTAGGGATAATACATGTTTCCTGAATTTTTAATTGGTAAGTACCCCCTTAGACTTTTATTTTATTATAGTTGTCACTGTTAGCATGTGCAGTACATGTGACTTTTAAGGGGTATATGTATATACTGTTGCGAAAATTCAAATCGGCATTAGCATAAATATTACAAACAATACAGAATTGTAAAAAAACGAAATTGCAATAACAAAGTCGGAATCGATACAAATGAATACCGAGGCCTGTGTTTGACACAGTTTCCTTAAAACAGATTCGTTCCCTCCGGTACACGATTGAGGTTTCGTGAATGTCTGTCTCCCAGGATACAACGGTTGACAGCGAAGAAGAGATCACGGCACTTCCAAGCTTTCGGCGAACTTGAACAAACTCGAAAATGAACACTACCGAAAAACAGTGCAAATGCAAAGAATTTTTAAAACAGAGGAAGAATGATTTCGATCAAATAGAACGCAGGGGAGAGCATTTCGGGAATAATAACGGTCGATTAAATCTGTCGTTACAAAATCAATACGAATAACGGACGATTAAATCTGCCGTTATAAAATCAATACGAATAACGGACGATTAAATCTGCCGTTATAAAATCAATACGCATGGGAATAACGGTTGATTAAATCTGCCGCACGTTACGAAATTCGTAACAGTTTGAGTTGAAAAAAATAAATCAGAAGGCAAAATTGGGCTCGTCGCGAGGCCCACTTTTCGGTCCTGCAATCGTGTACGCGGGATGTGCGCTTGTGCCCAAGTTTCAACTTGTCGGGCGTCGGATTTGCACCCCCCCTGCGCCTGCGCGCGAGGCAGAGAGTTTGTGCTATGATAGTTACCACTTCAAATAAGTGTAACTGTATATAAAGCACTCCATAGCCTTCTTTCTTTTCCGATGTGGGAATAGTATTTTTCCACTTCCCACTTCTAACTCAAGGGTGTTCTTTGAGCATCAATTTCTCATTCATTCACTCATCAATTTATCCCATATTTCCAACAATCCCCCACATGAATGAAAATTGTTTTAGTTTTGACTCTGTGATAGTGTTCAACAATTGAAACCTGCATAGGATAGGTAGGTGTTACCCTTTGAATCTTTCCTTGTGAAACTATATTTACTTTACTAGTTGTCCAGTAGACATGATGTCCTTGAACTGTCCAGCTTTCTTATGTAAATGAACCATACACTTCACACAGGAATCATCTAAACATTTGTTCAGTTCTCATAGTTATGTTCGTTTTGGCCATGAACATCAACCTGGTTCTGCAAGAGTTTCTAGCCCTTAAATAATTCTCCTTTGAAGCGGCCCCACTTCTCTCTCACATAGGTGATTACTTAATTTTGAGTAATTTGTTTACTCCACTTAAGAATCATTAAAGCAAAATGCTATCCTTTCCATTACAATATCACTATTATTTTATATAGGAATGGTTTTAGAGATAACCCCCACAGTGACATCACTAAGTTTATATAATTAGGTTGTCCCTTTGAACCTAGATCTTGGGATCTCCAGTCAACTAGGTTGGGTTTCCTTTATACCAACTTATTCTTTCATGGGCTTCAGTCCCATTCCTCTTGTCGATTTCTCAACTAACTCTCTGTTTAACCCTTTGGTTAGCGGATCCGCAATATTATCCTTGACTTTACGTAGTCAATAGAGATAATTCCTGTTGAGAGTAGTTGTCTAATGGTATTATGTCTACGACGTATATGTCTAGACTTACCGTTATACATATTACTCTGTGCTCTTCCAATCGCAGATTGACTATCACAATGTATACTTAATGGTGGTACAGGTTTTTGCCATTTTGGAATATCCTCTAAGAAATGGCGTAGCCATTCAGCCTCTTCACCACATTTATCTAATGCTATAAATTCAGATTCCATTGTGGATCTGGCTATAACAGTTTGTTTACAGGATTTCCAAGATACGGCTGCTCCTGCTAGTGTGAATACATATCCACTAGTAGATTTTGAGTCTTTTATATCAGATATCCAGTTCGCATCACTATATCCTTCCAGAACAGCTGGGTATCTGGTATAATGCAGGCCATAATTTCGAGTATATCGTAAGTACTTGAATATTCTCACTATTGCTTTCCAATGGTCAGCACTCGGATTGCTTGTATATCTACTTAATTTGCCAACCGTATAGGCAATGTCTGGTCTAGTACAACTCATTAAGTACATTAGACTTCCAACAACTCTAGAGTACTCTACTTGAGAAATACCCTCTCCTCTATTCTTGGAAAGATGAAGACTATTGTCTAATGGTGTTCTAGCAATACCAGAATCATTCATGTTGAATTTTTCAAGAATCTTGTCCACATAGCGTGACTGGTTTAAAATAAGACCTTATGATGTTCTTGTGATTTTAATTCCTAAAATCATATCAGTAGGTCCCATATCTTTCATGTCAAATCTTGAATTCAACATATACTTGGTAGATTTGATCATTTTATCATCACTACCAACAATTAGTATGTCATCTACGTAAAGACACAAAATGACATAGCCATTTGTTGTCTCTTTAATGTAGACACATTTATCACATTCATTGATCTTAAAACCATTGGTAATCATTGCATTATCAAACTTTTCATGCCACTGCTTTGGTGCTTGTTTTAGGCCATACAATGATTTCACCAATTTACAGACTTTCCTTTCTTGTCCTGGAACTATAAAACCGTCAGGTTGTTCCATGTATATTTCTTCATCCAAATCACCATTTAGGAAAGCTGTTTTTACATCCATTTGATGTACTTCGAGATTTCGTAATGCTGCAATTGCAAGTATCATCCTAATGGAAGTTATTCTCGTCACAGGATAATAAGTATCGAAGTAATCTAAGCCTTTTCGTTGTTTGTATCCTTTGATCACAAGTCTGGCTTTGTACTTATCAACAGAGCCATCTGCTTTCATTTTCTTTTTAAAAATCCATTTGGACTTTAAAGGCTTACAACCAGGAGGAAGATTCACTAGCTCCCAAGTATGATTCTGCAAAATAGAATCAACTTCACTTTTTATTGCTTCTTTCCATAGAGGTCCCTCAGAGAAATTCACAGCTTCTGCATAATTTAATGGTTCCTTTTCTAACAAATAAGTTAGAAAATCATTTTCAAAAGATTTTTCCACTCTTGCTCTTTTGCTACGTTTCGGTTCTAGTTCATGATCTGAGTCATGAATTTCATGAGCCGAATCGTGACTTTCTTCATTCATAGTTTCATTCTTTCGTTTAGATGAACTTGATCCATCATTGGATTTACAAGGAAATACATTTTCAAAGAATGATGCATTCCTAGATTCCATGATCGTATTCTTGTGTATATCTGAAATTTTTGATTCATGCACAAGAAAACGATATGCATTACTGTTATGTGCATAGCCTATAAAGATACAGTCCACCGTTTTAGGACCTATCTTTGTCTTCTTTGGTGTTGGAACCGCCACTTTTGCAAGACATCCCCACACTCGTAAGTGTTTGTAGGATGGTCTTCTATCTTTCCATAACTCATAAGGGGTTTTATCCTCTTTCTTTCGAGGTACCTTATTTAAAAGGTAATTGCTTGACAATATAGCTTCTCCCCACATATTTTGAGGCAAACCTGAATTTAGTAATATTGCGTTCATCATTTCTTTCAATGTGCGATTTTTACGTTCAGCAACACCATTTGATTGAGGAGAGTAAGGCGCAGTTATTTCATGTATAATTCCGTGTTGTGCACAGAATTCACCAATTGGTACTTCATACTCGCCACCTCTATCACTTCTCAATCTTTTAATTTTCTTATTGAGTTGATTTTCAAATTCATTCTTATAGAGAACAAATTTCTCTAAGGCTTCGTTTTTGCTTTTAAGCAAATACACATAGCAGTATTTGGTGTTATCATCGATAAAAGTAATAAAATATTTATTACCACCTCTCGTTTGAATGAATTTCAAATCGCAAACATCACTATGAATTAATTCAAGGGGTTCAGTGTTTCTTTCAATTATTTGAAATGATGATCTCGTTAATTTTGCCTCAACACAAATTTCACATTTATGTTTTGAATCAATTTGAAATGAAGGTATATGTTCCAAGTTAATTAATCTACGCAA